TGTTTATTGCTTTAACTGTGTGTTTTGCATTTAACTGTGTTCTAAGTATAGCGTTTAACCTACTTTGGTATTCTTTAATTAATCGTTGCTTTATTTGTGTATGTTCTGTTAGTTTGGCCTGTTGAAATCCTAAGTACTTGTAGAACTCGCCCTCTTCCATGGATTCAATAACGTCTCCATTTCCAAGTGCAAAATCTTCTTTCTTCAGGATTCCTTTTTCTAAGTGAAGTTTTTTGCATTTGTCTAGGCCAAACTCCATTTGTATGTCCTTAGTGTATGAGTGTGTGATTTGTAGGAGTTGATGAAGTTGTTTTTGTGTGGATGTTATTATTATTATTATTATTATTATTATACACATATATATAAAATTTTTCATAACTTATAAATTAATATTTTTTTAATAGGTACAAGAAGCAAACATGTTGAAATTAGAATTTGAGCACAATAGTGAAAATTATGAAAGGCTTGCTGATGCCTACAGTCTGAGTTCGGTTTTAGATAGTTTGCAAGTTGCTACAATGGAAGCTGAAGAAGAATCTGATAAAATTGCAGACCATTTTCTAAATGGTAAATATGTTTAAAAGATTATTGTACAGTCTAGTCCAACAGTCGGCAGCCGGTAGTCCGTGGTCCACAAGAAAATTTGGGTGGTCCATGGAGAAATTTGAACATTGATCAACTGAAGGTTGAAGTATTACGAAAGAAATGCAGAATGCTTAGTTGCTTTTTTCACTCATTTAGATTTTTTATTCGAATCTAAAACCAAAAACAAAGTGACTGTTATCAATAAATAATGAACAATAAACAATATTGGGAGTGCAATTGTCGTCCTTCATGGAAAAGTGCGAAAAATCCATAAACTTGTTTCAAACAAGCAGCAATGAACTTTTGACTTGTTTAATTTGTTATAATTAAATATGTGTGTTTCATATTAATATAGTAAAATTGAACTTTTATGATCATTATTCTACAGATTTTGTATCGTTTAAAAAAATTCATGATAATGGTCCACGGGATTCAAAATTGTGACGTTAGTGTTCCAGAGGTGAGAGAGGTTGCTGACTGCTGGTCTAGTCCACTTAACAGATCATTAGATAAGGTAGCAGTTTGTTTAAGAGAGCACTTTCCCAAGTTCCTGATTTTTTCCCTTGTTTTACATTAGTGGGCTCCTGTTAACAGAGCACCAGTTAGTAGAGCAGTCCAGTTAAACAAGTACTATGTTGGTGGCATTTTTTTAGAGTATCAAATTTTTAGAGTATTATAAGGAAAATTTATGAGTCTGTCTTACTGTACATAGACATACAACTAAAAGGTTTTCTACACTATGGTATTTGTTGAGATTTGATGAAACTTTTCATTGGTGAGTTTTCTAATCAACCAATAGTAAAAAGAATTCTTACAGAATCATAATGAACAAGATTTATTGGAGAAGCAGTTACATATTAAAAAGGTATCATAAAAAATATATATGAACAAACAGTGTAGATACATATATGTTTTCATATCAAAAGGACAAGACAAAAAGTGATTAGAAACAAGATTCCAGAAGTCATGTGACCTTACTTTAAGGAAGTAGCATACTTATTTGTTTTTATACTGATTAGAGAGCATTCAGAAATTTTGGAAGGATGTTGGAGAATCATTTTTACCACATGTTGGAGGATGTTCACATCTTTTTAGTTAGACGATGCATTTCTGGGAAGTGAAAGTAATGTGACTGGTAACTATACTGTGTTTACTAATTATTCAATAAAGCAATAAAACTGATGATATAAGAATAGAAACAAATATGAAAGTACAGTAAATTATAGAATGATGAATTTTAGTATTTTTTAATGTTTTGTAAGTTACATAGGGCTCCTAAGATATGAGAAAATGCAGAGAATTGAATACCATTAACAATCCCCTGGGTGATCTTGTTATTGTAACTATGTTCTTCACAAATTACTGGAGTAATTAATTAAATACAAACAAACAAACCAATTTTCCACACACAATGGTCCCAACACCCAGTCTGCTTCTAACAACAACGAACAATGCATCACAGGCTCCAGGCGCACCACAATACAGTTCAATCAACATTTGAAATCCTTATATAAAGAGATTGCGGGCCAGAATGGTACAGAAATCACATACAGGAGATCTGGTACAATATACAAGTTGCTATGCAATGCAAAAGATAAAATGGATCAAACTATAGCCCCAGGAGTGTACTCTATACCTCTAAGAGATGATAGATTCTGAAGGGACTTACAGACAGACACAGATAAAATAATCTTTATTAGCCTGATACTGCTAGGCACAATTGGGAAGAAAATAGAGCATACATCTGTAAAACATGCCAAATGAAGTAACCAAATAATATCAGAGAAAATAAACATAAAAAGAAAAATTGCATATATATAGAAAGAAATTAAGATAGGACAAGTTAGACAGACGTTGTACAAAAGCAGTGATACAATGAATAAGCAATATGATTTGCATGAAGACAGTTTAACACACTATATACAAAACAGATAGAATTGCATATATACAAGAAAACATAATGGAACAGAATGGACAAGCATTTGCAGAGCCAGACATACATTGAATAAACATTAGGGTATACGATAATACAGTGTAACGTTTAGCAGTACATTGAAGACAAGAGATGAGCAGTCCATTAATGGATCATTGTTCTTGTGAGATAGAGTTTGACAATTCTTCTAAATAGCAGAAGTATTCTGATCTATTTCCATTATAACTTGCAATAATTTATTTTTTTATCCTCTAATGTAAAAATATGTTAAACTCAAAAATTTATGCCCTCAAAACCCTCAAACTCACACAAGGGTTACATAATTACTGATACATACATACAATTATAAAATAAAAAATATATACAGGAATCATCACAGTGCACTATATACACAACTGATACAATACAATACTACTAGCAAAATAAAATATTCTTACACATGAGAGGTAGATTTACCAAAATGATGAGTGTGGTAACTTATAAACTAAAACATAAGAATTTACAGGTGAAGTACTGTACATGACAAGGCACATTATATGCTACATAACCTAGGATTAAAGGTAATGCATAGAAGTACAAAATAATTTTCTGAATTAATTGGTGGAATGACATTAGGACAAAGAATAACACACATGGCTATTGATAAGACAATAAATATACACACATATAGGCAAAGGTAGGTAGCACTTACAAAACATACAGATTACATACCTTTGACAATGTGATGAGACTAGAAAACACAGCACCATATGGAGGCCTTCTATTATTGCCCATATGCTTAAAAAAGTCTTTGATGAGGCTTTTAAGTTCATGAAACAAAGTGTCATTCTTTATCAACTCATGTGGAGGGCAAGGCCAATGTATGCCAGCTGCACCAGTAAGAAGTTGGAGCTTCAGCCTATTGCTTTCAGTCACTGGGCACTGGTAGATGTAGTGCAGTGGCCCATCCTCCATATTACAAATGTTGCAGGTACCTTCTTCTTGAATTTTGAATCTTTGCAGATAGCTGGCAAATGACCCATGCCTGGTCAGGAACTGGGCTTCCTCATGGGTGAAGAAGTGTCTATTGTGTCCTATGTTGTCGAAGATACTTGGGAAAAAAAGGCAAGTAGTTGCGCCTGTGTTTTCGTTGTTCCAGTTGTGTTCCCAAGTGCAGTTACACTCTCTCCTGAAGATAGCTCCAGCACTATTCTTTGTTATTGCATTGTGAGCATAATCACCTTTACTGTCCTCAGCAGCCTGCCTGGCCGGAGCATCTGCTCTATCATTCCCAAGCAGGCCCTGGTGCCCTCTAACCCAGGAAAGGGCATAGCTGTTACTCTCCAATGCAAAATGATTAATTTTGCTGACAGTACTTAGAGTACATTTGATATCTTGGATGATGTGAGTAGAGGAGGCTGAGTCAGTATATATATTGATAGCTTGATGGTTAAAATTATCATTGCACCAGGCCAGGGACTGATGGATAGCACACATCTCTGCCTGCAGGACAGTGCAAGTGTTGTTTAGATGGCACTGCTTGTTAAAAATTTCCTCATCACTTTTGTACACCACAAATGCACACCCCACCTTGTTGTTTAGCTCAGATCCATCAGTATAAACACAAATGTCACTGTCACTGAAAGGAACATCACACAAGATAGGTCACATGTATGTAGGTGGAAGGTCCCTAATGCTGACGTTTTCTCCATTGTGTTGTCTCCTAGCAAATGGTTGATGACAACATTGGTGATATTGCCACGTGAGGCAAGTTGCGTGCAGGCAATAGTCTTGATTGGCTGCTTGTTTACTTGTAATTACCTGTAGGGCTGTGTTTGCAGTTGTTCTGTAGGCTCTGAAAATAATGAGCAAGGCCTTCCTTTGGGTGGTTATCAGTCGCCTTCTGATGTGTACCCTATTAATGTCTTCTACCCAGACAGCCGAGGCATAGCTGATGATGGGCAAAAAGACACTCTCATAGATCACATCCAGGGTTTCATTTGTAAGTCCCCAATTGTGCTTGGCATGCCTTACTAAGCCATTGAAAATCATTGCTGTTCTGTCAGTGATGTGCTTAATTAATATGGGTGGCCCATGATAGCTTGTGGTCCAATAGAATACCTAGGTACTGTACCTCAGGATACCACTGTATATTAATCCGTTCCGAAACTGAGATTGTATCATGAAAATGTTGTAAGGTGAATCATTTTTCCTGATACGATTACATGTAAAACCAAATAATTTGTTCCAACACAAAAAAAACACTCAAATTAAAGCTAAGTAGTACATTGAAAAAAAAAACTTTAGTAAGGAAAACACTGAAAAATGCACTTTGTAGTTGTAAATGTATAAATAACCATAATAGAATAATAATCAATAAAAAAAAATGTAGTTTTATTTGCACTTTACGGATAGACGATGGTGGAGGTGTAAACTGGTGGCAGAGGAGAGGGAGAAGGGAAATGATACTAAAACTTAACTTACATAACATAATGTAACAATAACTTAAAAATAACTTCTGGTACTTTTGAAACCGTGCTTGTAGTTATTAGTAGTAATTCAAACACAAATAATTATTAAGAGTCAGCAAAAAAACAACAACAATTACAGAGAAAAACTGCAAGGTAAGATCGATAGGCATATTACAGAAATTGTTGTAACATAAGCGATGAAACCTGTGGTTTTTAATATCTTGATAACCTGTAATCAAAAAGGTATGCTTTTAGAAAAACAATACCTAATATGTTTGTTGTTGTAATTTTATAGTGTTGAACTTTTGTTTTTAGTTGGCTGAAGAGGGGCAATAAATGCCCGAAACGTGTGTAATAACAACACGTATCAACTGAATAAAAACTTGATGATAAGAATTGCCAAGTGCCTGAAAATAAATACGATAATTATTTGTGTTTGAATTACTATTAAAAATAACTTGACACTAATTTTTTAACTTTTCTGTTTTATATATTTTTTTAAATTTTTTATTCACTGCTTTTTGCCATCTTTCCTTCACTTCCACCAGCACTTTCACTGGATAGAAGTCGCTCGTTAAAATATCTATCCAAAGAGGTTTGTCTTTGCCTACTTTTTAAAATGACTTAGGCAAATGTCATTACTCCGAGCAGCAATACGGCCAGTGTGAACCTTTTTGGGATGTTTCTTTTCAATAAAATCAGTCACTTTCCGATAATAGCTCAAGATTTCCTTTATCGAGCGAGATCCTTCCACGACGAAGCAAACATGCGGACTGAGACCAATGAACAGAATTGAATAAAAAATGGTGCTGCAAACTAATGTAACGTCATATGGTGAGTTTTTGTTCGTACCGTGGAGCAAAATTATGTTCGAATTTCATGTCGTATCCTGAAAATTTCGTATGCTGGGGCGTTCGTATCCTGAGGTACCACTGTAACTACTATATTCATATTTATTACTAAACTAAGATAATTAAAATAATTATTTTACATTTGTTATCATATAGAAATTTGTTGTTCAAGGTTTGAAAGAATATAGTTGGTTTAATTATTTATTATGCATTAATGAAGTTAGAAATTCATTTATCAAAGTGAAATCATTAGCAATTCATTTAAAATTATCAAAATTGATTTACTTTTGCAATAAAATTTATTTTAAACATGTCATAAAGTAATATCTATCATGTTAGTTTGAGTCAAGATAAAGATTTTTTTAAACTAGTTTTTCATTTTTAATTTAGGTCAATTAAAAGTTGATGAGTTCTTACTAGAATTTTCAAGGAAAAGAGTGGTAAGTTTTAAAACTAAAATTTATAATTTGTTTAACCTTCCATTGGGTGTATTTGATGAATTTTATACATTATGCAAATTTTGAATTGTCTCCTTAAAAAAAGTTTGTAGCTATGCCTAATTTCTAGTTGCTTTGTTTCTCTTATTCCTGATGATGACCCTTATTCTTAATAATCAAAAAGTCTTCAAAGTATATGATAGTATCTAGGGCTGTGGAGTCAGTAAAAATCACTGGACTCAGACTCCTGATAATTTTAGTAGGCTGACTTTGACTCCCGACTCTGACAAAATTAAATACCAAGTAATTTTATGAGGGGCAGAGGCACTCATAGTGGGTACCCTACTCTGAACTCTGAAAGGAGCCTGGGGTGTTTATCCAAATACTTTTATAGCTAGTGTATTTAATATTTAACTTACATTAATATGTATTTGTGTAGAAAAATTAATTTTTAACAATTATTTAATAAGAGGAGAAAGGGGACAATAAAATTCTACATCTACATATATTCGACAGCATTTGCACTTCAATTTCACCCTTCCAAAAGAGTTAGTCCAACTAAAAAGTATGCGATCTAGCTAGCTATTTGATCCCCTTGTTTAAAAAAGAAAAATATGTACTCTGATCAATTAGTCTGGCTCATTCAGAAAAATAGAGTACTTATTTAGAGCAGAGATAATAAAGGAATGATTCAAAAATATTCAAATTCAATTGGGTCAAAATAATTTAACTACTAAACACAAATACTACAAAGAATACTACATATTTAATAAATTAAATTGATGCATTTTATATTTAAAATAAATGAATTACCGTATATCTGCGCAGATAAGATGAGGTATAAATTTTTGTCAAAGTTTTATAGTTTTAGCATTTATCTGTCCTATAAGACAACCCCCAAACTATCAATGGCCTATGAATTTAGTTTAGATCAGCAGTTATCATCTGGATAATAATACCTCATAGCATATACAGAATTATGTCCTATTTGTAATTTTTTGAATGAACAAATTTTATAATAAGTTTGCACTTCACGCCGACATATACTATTATTAGAACACTTATGTGCAGTGGCGTTACAGGAGTGGAGTTACGGATATGGAAATTTTATTTTCTTGCATCTGACAGTACTGCCTTGCGATTATTGCAAACATTCTCACTGATTTGGGCATTTGGGTAATGATCTTGACTATTCATAAAAACACCGTATGGGCTATTTAAATACATTGGTGAGTGATTTGTTTTATTTTATAATGGTTTTAATTTATATAAATTTCAATCTAATTTTTTTGTATCTGTCCTATAAGACAACCCCGGATTTTGGGGGTCTTTTCTTATGATTCAATTATTGTCTTATCTGCGCAGATATATGGTATAACAAAATACAAAAAGATTTTTAAAAATTAATAAATATATAATAAATTTTCTTTCATTTAAATAAAAAAACTAACAAGTAAGTACAACACCGTTTCACAACAAATGAACAATAAACTATTGTTATAGAAATGGCAAACACCACCAGAAAATCAACTAAATAAAGGTGGAAAAGAAGCCATGTGATTAGTTAATAACACAATCTTGTGTTCAACAGTTCTAAAAAGACTAAAGTAAATTTAAAATGTGGGAGTCAGAGTCGACACATTTTTTCTGACTCCAAAGTCCTGGTACTACCTTTTATCATTTTGATATATCACACCTCTGAATAATTCTACAGCAATACAAATGAACTGGGTTTAATTGTAATAAAAACATTTACAAAACCTTTGTATTTCCAGTTGTAGATTTTTATTAGCAACTAACATTTTCAATTTTTCGATCTTAGTCAGATCTTCTCCAGGTCTGAATACACAACTGAATTAGAATGCGAAAAATAGAACATACTAGTTTAAAAAATTGGAACAAAAGATTGAAAACGTTAGTTGCTAATAAAAAATTTACACCTGGAGATACAAAGGTTTTGTGAATGTTTTTTATATCACACCTCTTTCTGCTATATACTAAATACAGTAGAACCTCGATTATCCAGACCTCTATTATCCGGATTTTCGATTATCCGGATTGTTCAAAATAAACAAAAATTTTACGAATTTGCTGATTTGCACTTGGCAAATTATGATACTGTTTATGTACGTGATGGAATGAATAACTTTTTTTGTTTCAACAACATCTCACCTAGCACAGTGGTTGTAAACTCTTAAATATATTTTGCTTCATAATAAAAATATAACTTGACATACGTATTTATAAATAATTTATATTCAAATACTACCACCTATGCCTCGCGGTCCGAAGGGCCTCGTGCCTCGAAGGTTTATGCATTACTTAAAAGCCGCAAACGCGACGAAAAAGTTTGTCATCATAAAACGATAAATAGTTTGTCAAATTTTTATCCATAAAAATGCAGTTTTAACTGCTTTTTATTTTATAAAATCCATGCTTCTTGCACCACCAGAGGGCCTTTTAAACAATAGGTAGTCTGTTAGCACTGATCAGTAGTAGTCCAAATTCAATACGAACGTTTGTTTCTTGAAAATTTGATCACAGTTTAGTGTGCTGTGGTGTTGATTAGTAACGCTCCTGACTCGTACACTTGCATGCTCGGGTTCAGTTCGCTTGTTGTGTATACCTTTTTTTCCCCCTTTTTTTTTATTCATAAATACTTATAATGTCTTTATTTATTTACTCATTCATTTATTTATTATTTATTGATTTTTTTGATATTTTTCAATTATTTATTTTAATTTAATTTCTACTATTCTAAGTCTAATATTTTTACTTTGAAAACCCACCTTTGTCAAGTTGAGAGGGAGCTACTTATGCCAGGTTTGAACATAGGTCTATAGTCTTTTTCACTTGCTCTTTAACAATTCGTTTCTGAATTTCGACACGAATAGACGTATTTGTGCAGTGAAATTTATTACTACATTCCACTATACCTTTAAAATGCAGTCTACTTTTGGCTAGTTCTCTAACGTTTTCGGTCTAATTTATAGACCTTCTTCAGGATTGATGTAAAATATTTTAAAAATTTGAACTTTCTCAACGGTAATTCGAACAACGCACGTTCTATAATCTTCAGATATTCGATCGCGCATGTCCATTAGCTCTTTATAATGCCGCCGCTCTCCATGCCGACGCTATTCTACTTGACTCTCGAAAATTTATATTAAGCCCCTTTTCTCTGTATTTATAAATGTGCCATGCCTCTGCATACTTTAGATGTCGTATACTAGCGATCTTTTGTACAATATCCGCCTTGCTCCATTCGATTGTAATCTCTGCAGGATCCGCGATAGCATAATTGGCCAATCAACGGTAATTCGAACAACGCACGTTCTATAATCTTCAGATATTCGATCGCGCATGTCCATTAGCTCTTTATAATGCCGCCGCTCTCCATGCCGACGCTATTCTACTTGACTCTCGAAAATTTATATTAAGCCCCTTTTCTCTGTATTTATAAATGTGCCATGCCTCTGCATACTTTAGATGTCGTATATTATCGATCTTTTGTACAATATCCGCCTTGCTCCATTCGATTGTAATCTCTGCAGGATCCGCGATAGCATAATTGGCCAAAGCCGTGATCGGTTGTTTAGATCTTATATTTTTTTCGTGCTCCTTCAATCTTTCTCTTAATGATCTCTTTGTGGCTCCTATATAATATAACTCTTTCTTTAGCCTTTTATCATGCAACGGTATTCTGTACACACCTGGAACTAGCCTCCTGTCTATTGGTGTTTTGTCATTTCTTAGCATTTGGAATATTGTCGTGTTTCTCTTATATGCTATTTTCTTTTTGCTCTCTACTCCTATTTTTCTGTATATGCCACTTAACGGTGCTCTGTATTCCATTACGGTGAACTCCTTTTTTTCTTTCTTATCTTTAGTCTTATTGCATCCTTTTTCCGCTTCTTGTATTAAGGCTTTTACTTTACTTTGCTTAAGTCCTACATCTCTTGCTAATTTTGCAATGTAATCAAGTTCTTTACGTGTGTCATACATCCTGCTACAATGAGTGTATGCTCGTTTAATAAGTGCTCTAAACGCTGCTAGTTTGTAGTTTGTTGGGTCATGCGAGGACCATGGTATCAAATCCGGAACGTACGTCGGTTTTCTATACACTTTTGTAACAATTTGCTCTTTATCATCTATTTCAACCTCTATATCCAAGAAGTGTACTCTTTTTTGATCTTGCTGCTCTAGTTCTAATTCCAAGCCATACTTATTGTTGTTTATATCTCTAATAAATTGTCGTATGTCTGGTTTATCATTCCAAATAATCAATACGTCGTCGACGTACCTTGCATACATTATCATTTTATCTTCATACTTCTGCAGTACGCTATTTTCCAGAGATCTTATTACCATCTCGCACAGTAAGCCTGAAACCGGGCTACCCATTGGTACTCCTCTAAGTTGCGAGTATGCAGTACCGTCAAAAACGAAAATTGACGAGAATGTAGCTAAATGCGCCAGTTCTAGGATTTGTTTTCTTAACTTCGCTGCGTTGTCGATATTGCCCAGTAAAAAATCTCTTAAGTGACAAAAGCATGGTTCAAGCTTAATTGAAGGGTACATAGCCTTAAAATCGAGCACCGTCATGTATCTTATTTCGTTAACTTTCAGTTGTTTCAACTTCTGGAGCACTTCTAATGGTTGCTTTACGTTATAAATGTGGGGAGGCATGTTCGTATTAATAAATTCCTTAAGTTTCCTTTCTAATAATATCGTAGGAGCACAGCATTTATCTACTACTGGCCTCAAGCTTCTTTCAGATTTATGCGTTTTAGCAAATCCGAATAGCCTCGGCATGGCTGGGGATGAAGTTATTATTCTCGTCATACCTAGTTGCTTAGCTAAAGTTGTCGTAGAGAAACGTTTTATTCTTGCTTGTAACCTTTCCAAGGCCTTTGGGTGTGCTTTTTTGCATTCCGTGTCTCTTATGTACGTCGTTAAAAGCTCCTTATATGTGTCCCTCTTCATTAAGACCATATTTTTTG